GATGGGATTTTGCCTACTTTGTTGTTCCTTTTTATAAACGTCAACTAAGTCTATATGATTTGTAAAGTATATAAAGATATATGAAAACAATTAAATGATAATAGATGTCGATGAGAGGAGACTTCGATCGATCGGACGTCGTTTTGGTAATACATGACGTCACATTGAACGTCGATTAGAGGGTATAAATATTGAACACTGATTTGAGAATGTGACGTCAGATTTGGACGTCGATTTGAGGAACGGACTTCGATTAGAGACCAGACGTCGATCCGAGTCTAACATATATACGAATAATTGGCATGTTCCAGAGAGGTATACAGCAAGTAGAAAAATAAATTGAAGTTGGTACTCCAGAAATTTATTCGCATAGCAACACTTTAAACCAATTTTACATCAAGCTTATATAACCTGCTGTACTCGTCGTATGCTATTTATAAAAAAGAGGGAAATGATAACATTAAATGAAATTTTATTTTTATTTCAAGTTATTTTTATTTTTACAATTTACCAGAACGTTTTCTTGTGAATTTACAATTGATAGCGTCCTTGCTAAATCGGGTGTTTACAGGGGAGGTAATATTTTGTCACTAGATCATTTTTATGACATATTTTAGAAAACAAAGTTGCCATATGAATTAAAGAATATGATGGTAGTTGCTGTTATAATAGGTTCCATTGCATTCACATTACTATGACACATTTCAGCATAAAAAGTTATCACATGAATTAAAGGAGATGACCGTATTTGCTATTATAACATATTATACTGCATCGTCTTTGAGGTCACTATTATAACATATTTCAACAAACATGGTTGTCATATGAACTAATGTATATAACGGTATTTGCTATTATAACAGATTCCAGTAAACTTATTTTTCTATAAAAGATACTTTAAAATATAACAGTTGGTTAGATGCCAATTACTGTAATGTCGCTGTGGACGCGTCCGGTTTCTCTCCTTTTTGAGTTTATGCGATTCCCTCAGATCTTGTTTGTTTCCTTGTTGAGTCGTCCTAATCGATTTATGAGATTTGAACATCGGTTAATTACTGTTGCTTGAATAGACAACATCCTTAGATGTTAGACACACTGATTCAAACAACAAATACACCGAAGATGATAGCATATCTGATTTTTAACAGACAATCGGTATTCCAATGGGTTCTAAATGTGCAACTCTCGTCGACGACTTATTTTGAATTCATATGAAGCACAATTCATACGAGCCTTCTAAAGATAATACTAAAGCATCTTGCAAAGTCATTTAATTTCACTTTTCGATACTTTGACGATGTCCTGTTACCCACATTTCAGCATCTCATATATCATAGTAAACCTGAGATTCAGGATACTACCGAAACTAGAAAGTCTGCTTCATATCTTGATCGCTTCTTCGATATTGACACAGATGGACGACTTAAAAATTCTATGACAAACGTGGTGAACATTCCAATTGTCAACTAACCATTTCTCAGCATTTAAATACACTTCGCCCCCTTTGGATTTTACATATCCCAGTTAATGCGTCAGGGTCGTTCAAGTTCACACTATACAGACTTCATTACCTTGACACAAAAACTTCATAAGGGAACACGACAGAAAATTACCCGCTTATAATTAGGTACGCCAAAACGCGTGAAATCAACACTACACACATTTTACGGTCACCATCACGAAATGCATGTCTGACCGATACAATGTGTTAATAAGTGTTTCAACACACTAGTTACATGCTTTCACGGTCTTAGATCTTTAAATACCAGAAAAAAAGTAGTCTGATTTAAAAATGTAACAGATTTGTCTTATTCCACCTAGTGACGTTTTGAATGCGCGTCAATTCGTATTGCGGGCGATGTATGCATATCAGTAGACGCTTAACATGAGCAACACGACGGGTGCCATATGTGGAGCAGGATCTGCTTACCCAACCGGAGCACCTGAGATCACCCCCAGTTTTTGGTGGGGTTCGTGTTGCTCAGTCTTTAGTTTTCTATGTTGTGTTTTGTGTACTATTGTTTGTCTATTATTCTTTTTCATTTTTAGCCATGGCGTTGTCTGTTAATTTTCGACATGAGTTTGAATGTCCCTCTGGTATCTTTCGCCCCTCTTTTACGCTGTCGAAGCAATCAGTTTCGCTCCTTTAGTGAATTCAGGCGATTCTTTCAGTTTTTGTATTTTACCTTGATCGGTATCTTACAAATTGATTGACGAAATTTGAACCTCGGTAAACTACTCTCGAGAAACTACTGTTGTGTCAAATTTAGCAGCAATCGTCTGGAAGTCTGATTGTACCTTTAGAAAACTTATTACAAACTGGTTATCACATTTCAATTTTTTCGGTTATGTTTTTTATAGAGCACGTACATTTAGATACGATCCGTGTAAACTTAATTAAACTGGGTCTTCTAACTGCTCCACGAAACCTCTTTCTAAATAATTAACATCAATTTTATCAGCAATCAAAGCAGGGCTTCAAAGTTATTGTGAAAAAAACCTATTTTAGAGGCGGAATAAATCAGATGTGGATGCTAAAAAAATCCAAGGACCTGGTAGAGTACATGCAATCTAAGACTCTTTCATCTTGCAATAGTATTAAAATATTTGACTTTTCTTCACTTTACACAAGTATTCTCCATTCCAAACTAAAAGACAAATTGAAAGACTTGGACCTACTTTGTTTGATAAAAAAGAATGTCCAACGTAGATATAAGAATCTTGTCTTAGGGAGGGATAAATCGTTCTTTGAAAAAAAATCTCTAGAACTGACATCATGAAGATGCTTGATTTTTTTATTGACAACTTATTTGTTACGTTTGGAGGACGTGTTTTTCAACAAACAATCAGCATTCCCATGGGAACCAACTGTGCTCCTTTTCTTGCCGACTTGTTCCTTTATTCATATGAGGCTGACTATATACAGGAGCTTCTTAGGAAAAATGAAAAGAAGCTATAATTATGCTTTAACCTCATTTTCCGCTAAATATATGATGTCCTCTCACTAAATAATACAAAGTTTGATGACTATGTTGAACGCTTCCATCCAATCGAACTTGAAATAAAGGAGACAACAGATACAGGTTAGTCTGTCTCATATCTTGACTTACATCTAGAAATTGACAATGAGGGTCGGTTGAGAATAAAACTTTACGACAAAAGAGATGATTGCAGCTTCCCAATTGTGAACTTTCCATTTCTATATAGTAACATTCCAGCAGCGCCTGCATATGGAGTATATATCTCCAAGTTGAAACGATATTTCACAGATGACGACGGATATGTACCAATCGTCGTAACCACAATCTCGCCCTCCTTTTCCCCGAATGTGAACTACCGAATTAGACTTATCACCGGGTTTGTACTTACATGAGCAACACGACGGGTGCTACAAGTGGAGCAGGATATGCTAACCCTTCCTGGGCACCTGAGATCACCCTCGGATTTTGGTGGGTTTCGTGTCGCTCAGTCTTTAGTTTCCTATGTTTTTTTTTTTGTATACTGTCGTTTGTCTTTTAGTCTTTTTCTTTTCTTGCTATTGTGTTGTCAATTTATTTTCAACTTCTGAGTTTGAATATCTATTTGGTATCTTTTGCCCCTCTTTTATCGATCCTTTGAGTAAGTTTACTCTAAAAGGTTATCATTTTGGCACTGTAATAAGATCTTTGAATATTATTTTTCTTTGTACAAACATCGATTTTCTTACCAATACGTTCAAACATAACTTAAATATTATGGATATACAGCTATGAACATTTATGGCACTATATTCTGTCGAAACATATATTTTAGAATTGCACAAGATCATGCTTTTTACTGACTGTTTATGTCTTTACACTAAATCACTTGAATGTTTACTGATTGACATTTAAGTCTTTGAAAGATGATTATTTTTTTTAGTTGTTATTGTCTATGAACTAGCTTTTAGTAACTGCGAGTACTCTCAGGTCTGTAATTTTTGTCTTAAGTCTTCTTGTTGACTTCTTATGTTGTGCCGTAAGACAACTGTCCCATGTTAGGGGGGTTGGCGCCCGCTAACATGTTCAACCCCCCCCCCCCCCCCCCACACACACACACACACACATTCGTTATATGCCTGTCCCAAGTTAGATGTAATTCGTGGTTGTAGTTTGTTGCTGTTCATCTCAACTATTTTTCGTTTCTTTTTCTTGCTTTGTACACAAATCAAACCGTTCTTTTTCTAGATTGAATTATTTTACATTTGCCATGTCGAGGTCTTTTACAACTTGCTATGGGGTATGGGTTTTGCTCATTGATGAGAGTGATCTATAGTTGCTTACTTTTACGTCATTTGGTTTCTGGTTGAAAGTTGTCTCATCGGCAATCAAACATCATCTTCTTTCTATATGTATGCAGACAAACAAAAATATTTAATGTCAGAAAATATCGACAGAAGATATGCACACATATTCATTCGTAGGATAATAGTTTAATTTGTATCTAATACATCATTTAGTTATAACTAAAATGTGTTTGGATGGGGGGAAGTCGTAATGGGAGTGTTTTTATCGAGAGTTTTTTTTACCGACCGGAAGGCATTTTTTAATGAAGTCGTTAAATATTTTACTGAAAGTGAGGACAATAAGGAAGGCAGGCAGGCGTTCGTGTCGGAAGTTTTCGCAGTCGTTAATTTTACCTTATACCCTAATATCGTAAATCCGATTAGAGAATAAACCAGTTTCATTATAAATAAATATAATTTCAGTGTTAATGAACTTGTTACGCCACTGGCCACCTCATTACTATCATTATAGAGCGCCCAAAGTACACTGAACACCTCGATTTTCAAATTACTAGCATACTTGTCTCGAGGATGGCAGGTCGTGGGGTCGATCCTACACTTGGTCTGTAATTTATCGCCCGTGTCTTATTTCTAATCTTAATAATCTATTCCGAATTTGAATTTGCAAGTTGGCAAAAGCATATTTGACTAATTTTACGGTCTTTCACGGGTATTCGCAGGAAATCAATGCTACGAAAATATTTAATTTTTGATTAACAAAATGTCAATAATATAAGCTTAAACATAATTCTTTTACATCATTAAAATCCATTAAATCACACTTAAGTCTGCTAATAATTGTATGAGCTCACTCTTTCTTGGATAAAAAATTAAGTTAAATTAAGAAACATTTATAGTTAAGAATAGAATCATACTATTAAATTTATAATAAGTATAAAGTTTATCATTTAATTAGCTTTATCTCAGACGTATACTTACTTATTGAAATGATACATTTAAAATCGAAGTAAAATTTTTATAAAAGCATCTAAAACGTCAAGAAGAAAATAACAAGTAAAATGAATGAAAATATATATCGATTATAAGGTAATTACGAGCTATATGCCTCTTTACTTATTAGTAAGAACGGATATCTGTTTTGAATAATTAATTAGTCATCCACAATTTGTATCTTATATCCTTCTTTACCTCAGCTGTATGATATCAGGCTGGTACCTTGCCCTGTAAACACTGTATATATTTATCTGTATCTATATTTCCACCTGATATTATACATGCTGTTTTCCCATTTCCAACAAAACCTTTCAATGCTGCAGCTACAGTAGCAGCACCTGCCCCCTCTGCCCTTATGTGGTTTCCCTCACTCAAAAGCTTAACTGCATCAGCCACTTCTTGTAAACTAACAACAATCGAGTCTGTCACTAGACTTTTAACCATTGGCCACATTTCAGGAAGAATGGTTTTACCTCCCATCCCATCTACAAAACTGGCCTGATAAGGAAAATCGACTGGTTGCCCAGCTTGAAGTGATGCCTTTAATGGACATGCTGTCTCCACTTCACATGCATAGACTTTGATGTTTGGGTTGTGTGCCTTAGCAGCTATAGCTATGCCACAAATCAGACCTCCTCCTCCATAGGGAACTATTATGTTATTGATATCAGATATACAATCCACAATCTCCAAACCTATTGTGCCATTACCTTCAATATATTACATATTCATTACAGTTTATCTACAGCTTGCTTATTAATAAGTCTCAAATTAAAATACATACATGTATATATAAACTTTCTAAATCCTGTCGTACAAAGAATTGAAAAAAATAACATAACCAAAAACAGTTAGAACTAATTGTTGAAGATATTCATTGTAGTAACTATCATGATTATATACTGTCTATTAAATGTTAAACCATGATTTACAAGGCACACCAACAACTTTTTACCTTTTTCTCACATTGTTGGTTGATTGGTTGGTTGGTTGATAAAATGTTTGCATAACATCATATAGATTGGTTGGTTTGGATGGTTGATATGTAGGTGAATTGATTGGTTGAAATTTTGCATAATGTCATATTTGACGAATTTTGCATTCATTAATCGATTGGTTGGCTTGGTTCGTTAGTTTGATTGAATGATTTATTGATTAATAACACGCGATAATAATAGAGACGCATATGTCATACTGATTGATGCATTCATTGATTGTTACTGTGACGTCCATTGGCATAGATTTAACGCACATTATTAACTCACTGAGAGAAAAATGCCCCCTCCAACCAAGGATGCAGGCCGGGAATAAGTTCCCCGATTAAAACAAATCACGGTGTTCGGTAAAAAAATATCCGTGAATTGATTAATTTCAATTGGAACATGCAAGCCTTATTATAATTAGGATGAACTACCTCTCCTAAAAAATCTCCTCAATCTTCCTTTTAAAATTTCTTTTTTTTCTTGGGATCCTCGGAATATATGTTTTATTCATTTGTTGTTTGTGAAATTTGTTTTTATTGAAATTAAACTCGGACGTGAATCTTAACTTTTGTTTTTGTTGTTTAACGTGTCTATTTGAATCTGAAAATTACGTCGTATTTTCATTTTTTTTTGCACCAGATGCGCATTTCGACAATAAATGTCTCTTCAGTGATGCTCAAGGCCAAAATATTAGAAAATCCAAAGCTTTCTAAAACAATTAAGAGCTTTCTATAAACAAAATCGTGTAGCCAAAGTCGGGCCAGTTATCAAATTATCTTAATTAATTAAATGTAAAAAAATTAAATTGATGTGCATAAGATCCTCTTCTATCAGGTCATCTTGCATGACCAGAGTTTGAATAGATATGTATAAAATTTATATGAAAGGATGAAATGTGTCAAAGGACCCTATTTGGCCTATAATTTGAAGTATCAGGTGATTTTTGGGTAAACAAAATTAATAATAACATTTACATTACCAACTTTGTTGCACCAGATGATAAGTATGAGCAAAGTTTATTCTAAAAGAACTAAAAAAAATATTTATATTTACAGAGGTTTCCTTTTCGAAATATAGCATAAATATCATCTACAAAATTTTTATTTCTATGAAAGTTCATGGTCTTGAAGATTAGTTTCTGTCCAAGTTTCATAACAATCCATGAAGATTTACAAATCATGTAAAAAAAATCAATCCTAGACTGTCTGTAAATGTTAACTGTAAAAAAATAGTCCATCTATCAGAAAAATACTGAAAATGATAAAAAATATATTTTCAAAAGTTTGCTTCAGACATTATCTCTTAATCATGTTAATCATAACAAAAGCCTCTGCCAAAGTTTCATAAAATTCTATGAAGGTTTGACAAAGTAATTGATGTTTAACAAACTTTAACCCCAGACTGTATCTACTTGTTAAATGTAAAAAAAAGTAAGTCCATTTATCACTTAAATACGAAATAATGAAAAAAAATATTTTCTAAATTTTGCTCTGAACACTGTCTTTTGGTCATAAACAAGCTTTTGTCAAAATTTCATAAAATTCCATGAAGGTTTTACAAAGTAATTGATGACTAAAAAACTTTAAATTCAGACTGAATCTGAATGTTAACTGTAAAAGAAACTAAGTTCATTTATCAGTAAAATACGGAAAAATGAAAACAAATATTTTCCAAATTATGCCCTGGATACTGTATAATGGTCATTATCAAGCTTATGTCCAAATATCTTAAAATTCCATGAAAGTTTGACAAAGTTATTGATGTCTAAAAAAAATTTAACCACAGACTGAACCGAAATGTTGACGCCGCCGATGCCGACGACAGAATCTAGGATCACTATGTCTCGATTTCGCGACATAAATGTCGAAGGCTCGACAAAAAGCAAAATATCATCAGTTGTGGCGCTAGTAATTAATGCTCAATTGAAAACTAAGTTTAACAAAGTTTATGTATATGTACCATGATTCTATCCGATAAGTTTGAAGAAATAACAAAATGAAATATTACTTTCAACTTCACTTTAAAAAAAATTTCTATATGCTTGAATTTATGTTGAAAGTCTTGAGAAAAGGTATACATAAAATTAACATAATCAATGATCCACGTAAATGAGGTAAATGTCTGATGAATCTGTCAGACGGACAGGTACGCTTTACAATCATTCCATACACCAAATTGCTAATAGTATCTGAGAAACAACAATGTTAGAAGAAATCCGTCAGATATTTGCACCTTGCTATTTTTCAAACACCACATATAGTTAACTCTTGCTTATAGTATTTTGAAAAACCGGGACTTTACCATGATAACATAACGCTGAATTTGAATCATGAAAATCAGGGCAAGGTCAGACGAACCTGCAAGACAGGCATGTACACCAGACAATCATTTCATACACCAAATATTGTTGACAAATGCTTCTAGTACCTGATGAACTGACCTTACCATGAAAACTTAACATTAACCAACGAACCCTAGAAATGAGGTCTAGGTCAGATAAACCCCGACAGACAAAATTATAATCCTGACAATCAATCCATACACCAAACATAGTTGACCTATTGGTTATAGTATCAAGGCAATGGATTAAAACACAGAATCTTAACATTGACCAATGAACAATAAAAATGAGGTCACGTTCAGATGATCCTAGCTAGACAGACATGCATATCTTACAATTATTCCATAATTGTAATATAGTTGAACTACTCCTTATATTGTGTGATATAAGGACTTGGCCATGAAAACTGAAAATTGGTCACTGATCCATGACATAAGGTAGAGGACGGACATTTATAGAAGCTTTGAATCATCCAGGTCTTCTACCCCTTGAAATATAAAGCCTTTTTAAATTGCTTACGCCAGAGCCGCAACAGCATTGTAATCCCTATGTCTCGCATTCTATGACTTTCGTCCTGTACGATTAGAGAGAACATTATACTATATTGCAGTAAATACCTGCTACAACATCTGGTTCACAGAAAGGATGAACAAAAGTCCCCTTCATTCCTTCATAACTATGTGTCTGAATTGCCTCCCACCACTTATCAAATTGTACTTTGGTTATAATTCCTCCCAGTTTCTCCATTTCTGATACTTTGGTCAAAGGAGCGTGGCTTGGTACCAAAACATTACAAATTATACCCATGCTCTTTGCACTCCAAGTCAAACCTTGAGCAAAGTTACCAGCACTGGCAGTGCATATTCCGAGTTCTAATGTTTCTATTGGTATCTTTCTAATAGCATTTAATGCACCTCGCAGTTTAAATGAACCAATAGGATGCAAGTTTTCCAATTTTAAAAAGATCTGGAAATGAAATGAAAATAATGGAAATGAAATCATGCCGCAAAATCCCTTCCTAGATTTCACATAACCAAAAGCAAAATGACGGTGCTTTTATTTCTTTTTTTCTTTTCAAAGTAACTTTGTATGGCAAGCCGTTTTTATATTTATTCAATTTCAAGATATCTTATAAAGTAAATAAGATATCTTATAAAGTATATAAGATATCTTCTAATGTTTATAAGATATCTTATTTAATTTGAATCTAATAAGATATCTTATTTATTTTATAAGATATCTTATTAACTTTTAAAGATATCTTGTATAGTTTATAAGATATCTTATATCTTTTTAAAGATATCTTTTAAACAAATACTTTATGAGATATCTTGTATAGTTTATAAGATATCTTTAAAAGTATATAAGATATCTTATTTACTTTATAAGATATCTTATTAACTATATAAGATATCTTATTAGTTATACAAGATATCTTATATGATTGATATATCAGATATCTTATTTAGTTAATAAGATATCTTATTTAGTTTATCAGATATCTTATTAACTATATAAGATATCTTATTTAAAATAACATTATTAAGTAAATTCAACAATGAAAGCTCCCTCTTGAACTACGAGGCAGTAAATAGATCATGTGATCGCACTTTCAAAATGGCAGTTGAGAAGAGTCGGTTATTAATAAATATTCGAGATGTTAATATCCAGAAAGCATATGGGTGTATTAGAAATGACAAACTGCGACCTGAATTTGTTCTTGGCCTTGAGATTAATCGCACTACAGACACGTTAGCTGTTTCAAAAAGTGTATATTAACTTTTGCAATCAGAATAAAAACGGTTTTTTTGGCGTCCTAAAGTATGGTTCTTGAGTTCTCTTGTATAGTTTATGTTTGATGTGTTTGGGCTTTTGATTTTGCCATTTGATTAGGGACTTTCCGTTTTGAATTTTCCTTGGAGTTTTTGTGATTTGGTTTTTTTTCAAGCTATTTGAAATATGACATATTATCTAAAAAAAACAGTTACTGTATATAAAATCTTTGACTTTGATGCAAGTGATAATCAAGGAAAGATCGTGATGAAAAACACCATCAAAATATGATAACCGTAAGCTTACAAAACGTTTTTTTGTCATATTTGGAAAGAATAAAAGAGAGGTATGGTTAAAAGTATATAAAGTATGTTCATAAAAAATGTAGATCAAATATGACCATGCCAGCACAAGTGACTGCTTTAAAGAATTTGAAACATCCCCTAGTTTTTGTATCATGTCAGTTTGTGAACTAAGTCCCATTCCTGTTACTATTTCTTGCTGCCGAATTCTGAAGGGAAGAACATTTTGAATTTATCAAAGAAATCCCCCCCACCAAAAAAACAAAAAAAACAACTGGAATTTCATGAAATATTTTAATTCTTGATAATAATTTCGTAAATTCTTATTTCTAGATAAACAGAAAACAGATTGAAATGAGATTGGCAATACATTTTAAGTGGGATTTATATAGATATATTTCATTTTAAATAAAATATCTTTTACAGTAATTAAGATATCTTATATATTAAATAAGATATCTCGTTCATTAAATAAGATATCTTATTTAATTATCAAGATATCTCAATTCATTTATAAGATATCTTATTTAATTATAAAGATATCTGATTAAACTTAATAAGATATCTTGAAAGTGAATAAATATAAAAACGGCTTGCCATAACTTTGAGGCTAAAACACAGAGCTAATGCTCACATCTTTGCTATTTGTCGATTACGCTTCACCTGTGCACTGAAGAATACAGATGCTGGATATTAAGGTACATAAATTACAGATCATTACCAGGCTATGAAACCGGATAGTTACTGTCATTATTCCCGTGATAATCTCAATGTCATAAACAGAAATAACACAGACATATAAATATTTTATACACCTATTTTGATACTCTGTCATTAATATATGAGCGCCACTGGTGAGTCTAATGTAGACGAAACGCGCGTCTGGTGTACACAATTAAAAGCCTGGTATCTTTGCTGAGTTTTTATTTGACATCGTAAGCTTTTGACCTTGAGTGAACCTGATATTTATGAATATTATTCTGGGAAAACATGTGAATTTCAACAACATTCGTTATTTTCATTGTAGAAAATAAAATACTATTAAAAACTTATGATTGTCGCCGTCGCGTAAACTATAACTATTCTGGCAAGGTAAAATAGCCTTTCACAAGAGGCTCCTAAGAGAGGAATTTGCAGTACAAAACATACATTTTTGTGTTCCCTTAATTGGACTAAAGGTATTGGTTGTAATTTTCCTTTCATGTACTCCCTGGCCTCTTGTATGTCAGACAACTGGACTGGTCCAACAATAGATGTCATAATGAAACACCTGAAATAAAAAGAAAAATATTCATATCAACAGTAATTTTGGCAAACTTTAGTTAAATCTTCATGTCTCTAAATTGTCGTGAATTAAAAAAATATCATAATAGCCATGTACCAGGTGCCACTGCAGTTAGTTGGGGGTAACTAGAGATCTGCTGGTAATCCAAATTATGTTTAAAGTTTATAATATGTCGTGTGAAATATATGCACATAATCAATTCATCAATAATACCACGTTGTCTTCTAAAAGGCATTACTAAATTAAATTTGCTGTTTTATCATAATTTTTCTAGATTCAACATAATTCAAATGATAAATTTCAAAGGCCCAATTTCATGATGATTGGTATTGGTATAGTTAGTAAAGAAAAAAGTACATGACAATATAAGCGGATGTTGTCCTTGAAATCACTGATGATATCTCGATGAAACTTGCATGTTCCTAGACCTATATATATATCTGTTTAATATCACCCGAAATCACCGCCTCGGTGGTCTCGTGGTAGCGTGTTCGCCTCGAGTGCGGGAGGTCGCGGGTTCGAACCCCGGCCGGGTCAAACCAAAGACTTTAAAATTGGTATTTTCTGTTTCTTCGCCAAACACGCGGCATTAAGGAGTAAGAGCAAAGACTGGTCGGCTCGGAGTCCGAATAATATGTCCGGGTAAGGTGACATGTCTTCCTGCAGACTGTTACCTTGTGAGCTAGCACGTAAGAAATCCGGCTCAGCGTGTCGGTCTTGTACAAAGCAGGGTAAAATAATCATATTACATTAACATGTTATCGTCCTGTATATGCATATTAATTTGCCGCTAGACGTTAAGCAGCCATCCATCATCATCATCAACCTTAATCAACCAACTTTTAAATATGTATGTAACCTAACAAATCTAGTTTATTTAAGTTCATCTGTATATCTGTCATATTGACCGCAACATGACAAGATTAAAACTTTCAAATAACAAAACTATTTCAATTTACTGCAGTCCATCTTGGTGTAAAGCCTCATCAAAGATACCATGCTTACAACTTGGTACGCCATTATATATCATATATGGTATCATTAAAAAACGAATTCAGCACGAAATTTCAAATAATTCAATATAATTCTATAAAGTTTAACAGTTTATTTACAAAAAATGAACATATCAATGATATTCCATGTTCACATAAAAGTGCTGACTATTGGGATGGTGATTAATCGCGAGGATAAAACGTCTATACCAGCATGGCATCGACTCTTAGACGGTTGTTTTCTGGATTTTTCGCCTGAGTTAACTCCCAAGGTCTTCACATATATATCTCTGCATGGTTTCATCTTTCAAAAGTAGACAAACTGTCGACAGAAAAGTATTGCCATTTCAAGTATATCTCTTCGATGTTTATCACGTTTCTTGGGGTTTCTATGAAAAAAACACACAAGAGCAACTTTCAAAAATATCGATCTAAGAGTACTCGCGGGTAATTTTTCTAGAATTAAGAAATATATTTGTTTCTAAATATTAGTAGAAAATTGTTTTATAATAGAAAAGAAAAGATATGGGGTATCGATCCATGTCACATAAACAATATATGCACAGCAAAAACATAAAAAGCAAAGGAACAGGGCTGGTATTACAGTGAGGCCTTCAACACGGAGCAAACACTCTCACCTCACTGCAAGTTTAAGACGGCTCCTATCACCGGTTTGAGCGAATTTCTTTGCAAACTGACAAGCATGCCACAACTGTGAATTGAAGAACAAAGCCATGGGGCAATATCAAGCAAAGAAATCTGGCAAAGAAATCAACCATTTACTGTCATTACTTAGTAATTTAATAATGCTTATATTCTGCCCATATTTGATGCGTGTTTCTCAATATGAGGAAATTTTAATGAAGATGGAATTCAAATAATTGTAAAGTTACAAAAAAGACCTGCAAGAATTATACTTGATGCACATCTACAGTTAATTTTTCTAAAAAGATGAATATAGGATTTCTTATCATTATGATTCTTGTTCATAAAATTCTCAATTATAAAGCACCTAATTACCTTAAAGAACTATGTTGTCTAATTATAAACCTACAATGCGAAAATTTTAGATCTTCTGCAAACAATAATCTAGATTTAGTGATGCCGAGTACAAATTCGATGAAAACAAAATTATTCACATATAGCTTCTCAATACTTTGGAATAAACTACCAAATGAAATATAACTATGTGAAAATCTTGGTATTTCTATAGGAAAATATGTAGATCTTTGAACTGTTAATGATATGTAACAACGCTCTTATGTCTTTTTAAAGTTAGTGTATTGTGTATAATTTTGTTTTTCTTTTCTACGACAATCATTTAGTGTAAAGGTTGAGTTATGTGTTCAAAAATTACAATCTTTGTAATGCTTAATTGTTCTGTATGTTTTTTGTGCGAAGGCCTTAAGGTAGATCAGTGAATTCTCCTTAGATCAAGTCATTATTATTATTAGCAAACCTTTGTTGTTCTAGAAGTGGCACTGTAAGTTAAAAAAAAAAATGATTCAGGTTGACAACCTTATAAACTATACATGAACATGACACCTTGCACGTTTAGCATCTACAAATGTAGGTTATCTGTCTGGTAAACATCGGAAAGTATAATGTTATTTATGTATAGTTTTTTTTCTATCAACCACATGCATGTTTGAAAACAAAAACAGTTAAAACCTGTTGTAGATATGTTTGCTTCATTTAATGTTTCAGTGCATGTGTAAGACATAATAGTGTCATGTGAAAAAGTGTCCACCTGGATAATTGGATAGAACTGTCTAGCAAACATAAAAAACTGCTGAAATAAAAATACTCATCATCTTAATAATTTTACGTAAAATTATATAATTTTTCATTAAAAAAAATATGTAATCCAATGAGAACCAACCGTGCTCCTTTTCCCGACGACGGAGGCAAACGTCATACATGGGCTTCCAAAAAAAGAGTAAAAACAACCAAGCAATTTCTTTTACGTTCCTGTTCCATTGTTTTCACGATGTTTCCACAATGAATGGTTTAACGTTTCATGACTCTTAATCGCATCAATTCAACTGTAATTTGAAGAAGATTCCACCGATACAGTCAAGTCTCATTCGTACCTTGAAATCGATGGAAAGGATCGGTTAAGAACTTATTTTGTTGAATAAAAAAGGTAACTTCTATTTCCTCTGACTTGTGAACTTCCATTAAAGGAAAGTAACCTTCATTTAATTAGGTGTAGAGTTACCGTGCCACCCTCGTTTCATTATGCATTCAATATCAGATGATCTATAGATATAAGAAGATGTGGTATAAGTGCCAATGAGACAACTCTCCATCCAAGTCAAAATTTATAAAAGTAAACCATTATAGGTCAAAGTACGGTCTTCAACACGGAGCCTAATTGGCTCACACCGAACAGCAAGCTATAAAGGGCCCCCAAAATTACTAGTGTAAAACCATTCAAAAGGGAAAACCAACGGTCTAATCTATATAAAAAACGAGAAACGAGAAACACTTATGAACCACATCAACAAACAACAACTACTGAACATCAGATTCCTGACTTAGGACAGGTGCAAACAATTGCAGCGGGTTTAAACGTTTTAATGGTACTGTTTATATATATATATAGTCAAATGCGTTTTGTTAAAATATACTTTTCACTTTTTTGGTCTTTTGGAAAATGTTATTTGTGCTGTATTTAGATCCCTCTACCAAGAAATTTGTGTGTGCATGCAAAACAAATTTCTTGGTAGAGGGGTCTAAATACAGCACAAACAACATTTTCCAAAAGACCAAATGAGTGAAAAAAGTATATTTTAACAAAACGCATTTGACTAGCAGGTCGAACAACTGATGTTCTTAAACCCTGCTGACTGCCATTGGCGATTGCCAAATAAACGGATCACAAGATGTAACAAAATAGATCTTATTATTAATTTATTACCAAACAAAAAACAATAAACTTGCGGAAAAGATGGTATATCGCAAACATGAGGTGCAAAAATTTGTACACCATATCCGGATTTCGACAATTAATGTCTCGTCAGTGATGTAAGGAATCGAAAAGGTATTTGGAAGGCCATATAATTTACCTCAATTTAGGATAGACTCTTCAACTTTGAAAGAGTCAAAATAGGATGAACAGATCATATAAACCCGAAGGCAAATATAATACAAGCCCAAAAAACGAAAAATATAAACAAGTCTAAATTGAATACAACGTTCAAACCTATGATTGCGTTGGATAAAAACCGCAATTTTTATACGTGTCCATGCAAAACAAATTTCTTGGTAGAGGGGTCTAAATACAGCACAAAAAAGCCTTCCAAATACCGTTTCGATTCCTAACATCACTGAAGAGACATTAATCCGTTGGCAAGATCTATAAAAATTGACGTTTCAGTTCGAAAAAAGTAAAACAACAAAAATACCGAACTCCAAGGAAACTTCAAAACGGAAAGTCCCTTATCAAATGGCAAAATCAAAAGCTCAAACACATCAAACGAATGGAAAACAACTGTCATATTCCTGACTTGGTACAGGCATTTCCTTACGTAGAAAATGGAGGATTACACCTGGTTTTATAGCTAGCTAAACCTCTCACTTGTATGACAGTCGCAGATAATTTCATTATTATATTGACAACAATGTGCGAACAAAACAAACAAGACATTATAGGAAAAAAATATCAAAAATAGGGGTACAGCAGTCAACATTGTGTTATAATCTTAATCACTATTAAAACAATCAAAAATTTTCTGCTCTTTGGTCGGTTTGTTGTCTCTTTGACACATTCCCATTTCCATTCTCAATTTTATATATGTCAACAAATCAACAAAGAAAACAAAATGGCATATAGACAAAGCACATATTAAGCAAAAATTAAAAACAAGAATTACCATAGACCAATAACACAATGGCGGGATGTATATATACCGTGCCACGCCATAATGATATTACCAAAAATGGACTAAACAGTAAAGGTTAATTGAAATCAAGGTTTTGTGGACTTGA